AGTTCAGATTTCAAATCGCGGAGTAGCACGAGGTTGGGAATGGATTTCTTCGTTTCTAGAATTTCAGCGTTCCCTCCCGAAGGGTTGTTTTCCCTAATAATCGGAGTTAGCTGTTTTCCGTTCCTTAACATTACAGCACTTACATGACGTCTTGGGTTTGTGTCAGTCTTCCTTGGTAGACGTCCTGCTTCCCTCTTGATAGCGGTAGCGCAATTGGCAACATCGCTTTCTAGACTTCTGATTTGCTTACGCAAAGTGTCAAATTTCTCCGACATTTCGCAGTAAACATCATCCAACTTGATGTCTAGGTCTTGGTTTAGCCTCTGATTTTCTGTGAAGACATGGTTTAAAACGGTTTGGGCTCTCCTTCGGTGTGACACGGCGAAGGTGTCGTAGTTTTGGGTAAAACTATCTATGTCAAAAAGGTATTCCTGAGGGTTTTCATGTCTAAGGAGTGTTTGCTCTATGGAATGGATATCCTTATTGCTTTGGGTAATACCAGGCTTCTTTTCCTTTGTGAAAGAATGAAGGAGATCTAGAGATTTTCTAATTTCATATATTTGAAGGTCATTCCTGGATTTAGCTTCTCTTTCTTTATCTTTATTTTCATAAGATTTACCCATTGCTATGTTTTCAATCAAATGATTTGCTTCTTCTGGGTTCCTGGAGCTGAAATTTCCATTACTCGCATTATCTAGCATGATCTGGTCATCGGTCGATGCTTGGCCGAAATCTGTCTTTTCCATCTTGAGATCCCTATGATTGCAGAGAAAGAGGAAAAAGAATTAAATAAACAAAAATAAAATCTAGACTATATTCTAAACTAAATCTGATGGTAATAAAAAAGAGTCCCCGGAAACGGCGCCAAATTTGATATCACTCAAATTACCCTAGGGGTGAATTACTCTCATCAAAAGAGGTTCAATTGTAGTACTTAGGGATCGAATACACAGAGACTCTAAGATTACACAACAGATTATTTAGTTTTCGAAGTAAAGCTAGATAGAAAGTATTAAACAATAACTTAAAAGGTAACGAAGCGATATCTTGATTGATTTGTTTGTTAAGAGAAAAGAAGGTAGTTAACCTTAAGCGTTTTACAATTTTTATAAGTTCGAATCAGTCGTATGGCTGGTGTTTTGAGCTAACCGTTTCCGTTCCATATGATCTATTCAAACTCATACGAAGAAATGAGCCTTCGTGATTTTTATCATAAGAACTCAAAGATAACTTTGATCGAGACAGATCAGTCCGATTGAGATCTGAAGGGAAAGAAGCAGGGACGAACCATCTGCACATCATATAATGGGCCGAGAAAGAACCACGATGGCGACCGGGTTTCGTGTCAAACTGATATGCCATTGATTTTACCCATTTTCACCCATGGCACATAAGTGTTTTATCATTGATATCACTCAAATTACCATAGGAGTGAATTACTCTCATCAAAAGAGGTTCAATTGTAGTACCTAGGGATCAAATCCACAGAGACTCTAAGATTACACAACAAATTATTTAGTTTTCGAAGTAAACTAGATAGCAAGTATTAAACAATAACTTAAAAGGTAACCAAGCGATTGCTTGATTGATTTGTTTGTTAAGAGAAAAGAAGGTAGTTAAACTTAGGTATTTTCTCAGGTATGACAAACATGCAAGTTATAAAGGGTTTTTATTATTCATAGTTCTGGATTCAAAGTCTTAAGGATTTGAAGAATTAACTCTTACTGGATCTCGGGTCAAGAACTATCGTTCGATGACCTTGAGTAAATATCGGTCGATAGTTCGATAGAAATATCGATCGATGTTGTTATGCTATATCGGTCGACAAGACGGTTATCTCGTTGATCGATATTGCATCCAGCAAGTTCTAATGACAGGTTTGAAAGGGTTCTCTAGTCTTCAATAAATAACTTAGACTCTAGGTAATTGCTAAGTTCTCACTAATCCAAATTTATCCTAAAATCAGAGGTAAGGGTGATCAATCCTTAACACTAGTATTTATGATGACTAGATTTAGAACTATATTTTAAACACTCTAATAATGATTACTTCAATGCATGAGTCAACCTTAATTGAGAAACCTAAATCTAACAAGAGAGACTACTCAAACATATTTATGAGAGACAAAGTCATAATGGTTTGAATAATGCTTTAAGATAATAATAATAATAAGAGAAACAATAAGTAAAGAAAGGGAGTTCAAGATCTTCTCTGGATTGTAGTTCAGATCTCTCTCTCAATTCCTAAGCTCTTCTTCAAAGTATGGCTAGATGCTTCTCTAAAAATTAGATCTAAAGGTCTCTGGAGAAATCTGCTTAAACTAGTACAAAACCCTATTAAAATAGCCTAATAGGCGGCCAGAGACTTAAGGTGTAATTTATTACAACTCTTGTGAAGCAATTAGGGCTTCTAATCTTTATTTAATCGCTTTTGAGGACTTTTGTATTGATCGATATAGAATGTCTTCTATCGATCGATTGGGATGATCTTTCGTCTGTCGATTGCTCTTAATGCGCATCGATTGATATCTTCAACACATTTTGCTCACATCTTCATAAAGTCTCCATTTTAGCTCCATAATGGCCATTTTAAGACTTCTACAAGCTTGTGATCGGAACTCCATTCTTATATCTATGCAGTTTTCTTATCTATTTGTTATTATGAATTGCTTTGCTATGTCTGAGTAGTTCTACTGGTAGATTTATGGTTTAAATAGGTTATGAGGGATTAGTCCTAAATATAGAATGGTTAAGTTGTGGTATTCAACAATAAGATTGATCTTAATACTTGTATTATAGAGTAGCTAATTAGAACACTGATGTTAGAATACATGTGAGTAGTTAATCAACCCACACATAAAGCTTGGCTAGAAGCCGATCAATCGATATTCATAACAAATATTCGATTGACGCATTGATCAACATATGACAGCTAAGACAGTAAATCTAGTCAATAGATGGTCTAAAACGCGACATGCTGATGGACTGTATTTTAGTTGAGCTCTAATATATCCTCCAACTTTGCACCTATAACTCTATAATCCTGACGACCTGAATAGAAACCCTAAGTCTAGCTAGCTACTTTCTAATATCGTTACAAACCCACTTCAAACCAACCGAATAACTACCTTGTTCAACACTGCCTTTTAGTTTAAACACTTTCGACCTAGCTTAATCATCTGATTAGATCAATTGCGTACCCTAGGTCCTTGTAGATTCGAACCCTTAGTACTACAACTGAACCTCTTATATCAGTGAGTAATTCACTCCTTAGGGTAATTCGAGTGATTATCATGAACTGGTCGGCATATGGCGACCGAGTCTCATGTTGGACCGGTCGCCATATGGAAACTGAGTCTTGTGTTGGACCGGCCGCCAGATGGCTGCCAGGCTTCGTATCAAACCGGTCGCCATATGGTGACCGGGCTTCGTACCGAATCGGTCGCCATAAGGCGACTGAGTCCTATGTCAGATTGTATCGAACCGGTAGCCATATGGTGATCAAGTCTCGTGTCAGAATGGCAACTTAGTCCCGTGTCAGACCAGTCTCCATATGGCGACCGAGTCGCGTCTCAGACCGGCTGCCATATGGCAACCAGGCTTCATACCGAACCGGTCACCATATGGCAACTGAGTCCCGTGTCAGACCGATCACCACGACCGAGTCTTGTGTTGGACCGTCGCCGCTGCCATATGATGACTGAGTCCCACACCCATACCGAACCTGTCGCCATATGGCGACCGAGTCTCGTACCGGACCGGTCGCCATATGGCGACCTTGTTTAGTAGAGCTTGGTTTGATGTGTTTCCGAAAGGTTTTTCAAGAGGATTTTCCAAGGGTAGTAATCCTAGTTGTTGATTATCTAGATAACTGTTAGCCCCTCAGTTTGCAAGTCTCGGAGACAACCCTTTCACGCGATTTATGCGTTTTGTTCTCAAATCGGACTCTTTGGTTGGGTTTATCTTTCCTTATCTCTCAAAAATTTTATTTTAAGATTAATTTATTGCGGAAAGCCACTTTGGCTTTATATTTCTATAAGTAATGAACTTTCATTCCTCATTCTCTTTACACCTCTCCAACTCTCTAAACTCTCTCTGCCTTCTCTATTTTAATCTAAGTAATATAGATTAAAATTATATCATATAACAATTACAACTTTATTTTCTTAAAATAATATTAGCAAACCAAGCACGATAAATTTGGTACAAAATATTAGAGAAATTTATTAATTACAAAAGATTAACTAAATTAATATAAAATATAAGTTATAGATGAATTTTTTTTTAATAATATATTAATTATGTCAAACAAGTCACAAAGTAGTGTTTTATAGTTTCATGATATAAATATCAATTTGTAAATAATATATATAATAATTTCATATTAACTATTTATACACAATGATGAAAAATACAAGCATGGATGTGCATGTAAAACTCTATTATATTTTAATTTGTAATTCCAAAATAGTATATTGGACACTGATACTCTTTCCTAAGTACATGATTTAACATTAAAATTTTCAGATATGTTTGGTGTATTAACTAAGATATTTACTGATAATAAATGAGGATATTGACCTTTCACAAAAGAAAAGAAAGAAATTATTAAGCAATGAAACATATTTTCTTTTCAAAGTGAAAGAAATAACATATTATTGATGGTTAGAAAACCCTTATTTTCTTACAGTTATAAATATTCTCCATAATCACATCATTTAGTCATTCAAAAGAAAAAAAAAATACTTTTGACCCCCCAAAAAGTGAGATTAACTATCACAAAAACATGGAGAAAACAACTTTGATATTCATTGGTATTTTACTTTTTTCAACATGTGAGTTTAAATAAAATTGTATTTTTATATTGTAATTAATTATTCTTCTACCTCATCAGCATGATACATTATTTAATATATATGTATACATAACAAATATACATGATTTCGTACAGGTACACCGATTCTGGCACAAACTTGTAAGAATAACTATGACTGTTTGAAAATGATATGTCCATTAAGAGGATACCCCATTTGTGTGAAGGGTCATTGTGAATGCCCTCCTCACACGTATAGAGCATTACCTGATGATACCAACTGTGGTGTGAGTAAATGCATTGACTATTGCAAAGCAAAAGGAGAAGTAGCTTCTGCTTGTATTTTGAACCATTGTTTTTGTCGCAAACCTCCTATGTAGATTTTACCAAAAAATTACATTCTACTAATAAAATAGTAATAATAATAATAAAAAATTTCGTCAAAATATCTAAGATTTCTATATTAAATTAAATTATAATAAGTTAATTAGTTTCATGCATAGTTTTAAGTTTTAAGCAAAATAGAAATACAACTAAATCAAATTTATTTTCGAACATAAATACAAAATAAAGAAAAATTTATTTAAATAAATATCACTATTGTTAAGTTGATATTAAATTAATTAAATTTTCAATAAAATTTTGATCAAATAAATCTGGATACTAAATCTATTCAACAAGACAATTATAAAAAATCTTCACTTTAAAAGTTCGACATACATATTATTTTATGATCTAAGCATATATGAATATTCAAACTTTGAAAAACAACATATGTCACATTAATGCTCATCTTCTTCTCAAGAGATTAGTTTTGCAACAACTTGGCCGAAACAAAAACCTTCATATCTCTTTAAAGACATGACAAAATTGTGCATATAATATATCAATAAAAAGATAATTTTAATATCTACATACATACATAGAATATCACACAGGTGCAATCTATCATCAGAAAGATATGATAAAAACAATATTTTCAGTTTACTTATTAGTTTATTAAAAGTAAATCAGCAAAATAAGCATAATAAATTTTTGTACCAAATATTTTGAAATTTATTAATTTCTAACAATTAACTAATATAAATATAAACTATAATATAATAATGTAAAACAAGTACAAAAATAAATAGTGTTTTAAAGTTTGTGGGAACCGAAATTCACCTACTGTCGATTTTCGTTAAATAAGGAAATTTAGGAAAATCGTAATATTCCAGAGGAACCGAATCTCTGCGAAAGCCAACGACAAGTAACCAAATAAATGCGGAAAAATATGAAAAACGTAATGAAACGAATTTAAAGAAAAAGTAGATCTTATTTCAATTTCGCGTAAAAGCGTTGCGATCATTACAAGGGTTTAGAAAGGCTTTGGCCGCAGGACCATCAGCAAGTTATCAACATAAAAACCTTAAACCTAGTCGAGTCGCAGCTCGATAACAAAAGACGGAAAAAGATAAGAAAAAGGATTTGATTTATTTCGGACTGAACCTTATAAAAGGCTGCCTACGTACCCCTTTCGAGGATCAAGTCGAACGTAGTTCAGTTGATAGAGCTGGACCAGAGATCGAATGTTGGTGTCGAAATCAGTCACAACGGAATCAATGGCAAAAAGTCTCCGAAAAATATAAAAGAAATAGTTTTATAAAACTCGAAGAATCGTTTTATAAAACTTGAGAATCGTTTTATAAAACTCGAAGAATCGTTTTATAAAACTCGAGAATCGTTTTATAAAACTCGAGAATCGTTTTATAAAACTCGAAGAATCGTTTTATAAAACTCGAAGAATCGTTTTATAAAACTCGAGAATCATTTTATAAAACTCGAAGAATCGTTTATAAAACTCAAGAATCGTTTTATAAAACTCGAAGAATCGTTTTATACAACTCGAGAATCATTTTATAAAACTCGGAGAATCATTTTATAAAACTCAAAGAATCATTTTATAAAACTTGAAGAATCGTTTTATAAAACTCGAGAATCGTTTTATAAAACTCGAAGAATCGTTTTATAAAACTCGGAGAATCGTTTTATAAAACTCGAATAATCGTTTTATAAATCCAAAAGAGATTTCCGAACAAAGGAAATCCATGAAAACTCGGAAGATCGTTATCTCGGAAAAGCGAAACAAACGGCAATTACACGATCGTCCGAATTAAGCACAAAACTGCGAAAAACCGAAACCGCTGTAAAACGCGAACTAGTCTCGTCCGACTAGTTCGCCCAACGGCGAACTAGAAGCTTCCCAAGAGGCGCTGACTTTGCCCCAAGGGTTCTTATCGCCTAGAACGCCATACGGCGACCTGTCCAAGCTGAACTAGCACGCTGTACGTCGAGCCGACCATCCCGAGCCTCGATATCCCACATCTTTGATTCAAGGAATACGTCCTTTGACACGATCATATTCCGAATCACGGTTGAAATGTCCCTCGTTTCGTCTCGATCCGTCTTATCGTTCGAGTTTTACGATAAAAACCGTAAAACTTAGATTTCTCAAAAAGAACTCGAGGAAATCATATAAAACGGAAACGGTTAAATGAAACGCCGAATATAGACTAAACTATACGATTTATTCGAGATTTTTCTTAAAAATCGTACAAAACGCATTTTTAATAAAACCCCGAGTAAATCGTAGAAAACGGCAACGATTAATCAAAACATCGAACATTGCCTAGCTTTACGATTAACTCGAGAAAATTATCTAAAAACGGCATTGTATCAGGAAACGATCTCGTCTAAAGTTGTAAAACGGATTTATCGCAAAACGGCTCGGAAAGTCCTAAAACGCGATAAAAGCCATTCGCGACTTTAAACGAAGTCCAACCTGAAGATACAATCACGTTTTGGCGATTTACTCTTAGAAAGAAGATAAATGTCAAACTTAAAGATAAATGTCAAGTTTGAGGTTAAATAGAAGATTTCCGCGGGAAAAAAAATAAAGATCGAGATAAATGGAAGATTCCCGATAAACTCGAATCTGGGCGAAATGGAAAGACTAAACCGCCTAGGAAGGAAGTATATAAGCAAGAGGCATAGGGCAGAAGCAAAGGGACAAAATTCAGAGATCTCATCTGAGGCTTTTACAACTTTTCTAGACTTACAATTTTCCGCACTTAAAAACTTAGGCTTTTTTCTCGACAAGTTCGGTTTCTATGACTGGCGCTCAATTACTAGACGAACTCGCCTAGGCGGTTCAATCTCTGGACCAGCTCTATCCACTGAACTACGTTCAACTTGATCCTCGAAAGGGGTACGTAGGCAGCCTTTTGATAAGGTTCAGTCCGAAATCAATCAAATCCTTTTTCTTATCTTTTTCGGTCTTTCGTTATCGAGTTACGACTCGACTAGATTTAGGGTTTTATGTTGGTAACTCGCTGATGGCCCTTGCGGCCGAAGCCTTTATAATTTCCTGTAATGACCGCAACGCTCTTACGCGAATCGGAAATAAGATCAATTTTTTCTATAGATTCGTTTTATTACGTTTTTCATATTTTTCCGCATTTATTTGGTTACTTGTCGTTGGCTTTCGCAGAGATCTAGTTCCTCTTGAAAATTAGGGTTTTCCTAAGTTTCTTTATTTAACGGAAATCGACAGTAGGTGAATTTCGGTTCCCACAGTTTGGCGCTAGAAGGAGGGGAGGGGGTCGGATTACTCTTACTCATAGCCGCAATACGCTTGATCAAAACGATGTCGTGATATATGAAAGAAAAAGTCGCAACTCGCAAAAACGCTGGTAAAACAACTCCAGCAGCGACTGCTCCTATAGCCAACGCTCACGCAAACGCTGTAGTGCACAACAAAATCGAATACCTAATCGCGACTCTTCGCCACGGGAAGAGCAAAAAAACAAGCTCACGATTCCTATCTTAGATCACTAAGGGTAACGGTAAAATCTATCAAACCCCATAGTGTTTTTCTTATTTCCAAGTTGAACAAATCTCATGGGTTGAGCAAAAGACGTTTCCGAGAATGTTTCGGAAAAATAAAACTTGTTCCCCCAGAAACTGCGGAACAAACCGTAAGTTACTCGCGAAATAAATCCTAGGTTAACTCGCGGAAAACCGTAGGTTATTCGCGGCAAAATCCTAGGTTGTTTGCGGAAAAACCCTAGGTTACTCGCGGAGAAAGCCCTAGCTTTACTCGCGGAGAAAGCCCTAGGTTACTCGCGGAAAAACCCTAGGTTATTCGCAACAAAATCCTAGGTTGCTCGCGGAAGAACCTTAGGCTACTCGCAGAACCGGGAAATACTATCCAGCCGAAAAGACGGTGAGCTGGCCAAGCAACCTAGCTTGCAATCTTGGCGAGCTGACCGACTTTCCACCTTGTCCTAAAAGGCACTGACTTTTCCCCAAGGGTCCGCACAATCCAACTCAAAGCTATGGAGAGCCTGATTGTACTCTAAACAATAATCGCACTGCTTTCCGTTTCGTCTCAATCGGACTTCCCGTTAAGATTCTACGACGAAAACAAGTCAACTCGACGAATCGAGATCACCCGCGCCAAGCGTCTTAGCTCGCCAAACGTAGAGCTAAACAAAGCATCTTAGCTCGCCGAACGTAGAGCTGAACCAAGCGCCTAGCTCGCCCAAGAGGCACTGACTTTGCCCTAAGGGTTCTTACCATCCAGATCGCCACACGGCGAGCTGAAAAGATTCACCCGACTCACCCTACGTCGAGCTGAACCAATCCTCGAGTTTCTCTCTCGAACCCTGATCGCGCTGATTCTCATTTCCTCTCAATCAGAATTTCCATCGGGATTTTACGATATATCCGCAAAGACTTGTTTCTTCGTATAAGTTTGAATCAATCGTCTAAAACGGCAACGGTTGACTTAACACCAAAGTTGCCTAAACTATACGAGAAATCTGAACTCTCTAGACCCAATCCAGTTTTACGAAACTCTGCGACGCTAAGTCGAAAACATCCAATCATATACACTTGATTGATTTTTTTCGATATACAAAGCGCACCTAGTCGGTCAAATAAAACCAGCAGTACGAAGAAACAAGAACATGAGCTCCGATTGTTAAGTCTTCTCCCCGCTCCTATACTCTTGCTGGTAATTCGTCAAAGACCGGTAGGTCAAAAGACGCAGAACGAAGAATAAACGATCCCAAATCATCGATGAAACTAAGGTATGTCCGATTTGAAAATTTTATTAGACTTCTAATTTCTCGTAGGTAAGAAACGAAAACGTCTTGTAAACTGCCGTGAAACCTTGAGAACTTAGAATTTAGAGGATAGTCTAGCATGCTAAGTCGTAAGCAATTTTTGTCTATCTCGATTTGTTGTTCTCTAACCATTCAGGCATAACTCGCAAACCGATCCAATCTCTCGTACAACCGAGAAACGATAGCCACACATTTGAACGTACTCGTTTCCT